CAACACCCCCAGGTCCTTTTCCGCCAGGCAGCTTTCCAGCCACTCTTCCCCAAGCCTGTAGCGCTGCATGGGGTTGCTGCGACCCAAATGCAGATGATACATCTGAGCTATTATGCTGCTCCCTGGGACTGCCAACACAACTGTTTTTTTAGAAATTTGGTCAGTACTATGTCCAGAGAGCAAAAGTAATCTAAGGAAGGAGACCTGAATGTGTTCTTTAGATAAAGCCTGGCCCCAGATGAAACGATTCCAGCTACTAATAATGAAAGCAAAGAAGCAACAACCCATTCCCCTTTCCCCCAAATCCATGTTACCCACAATATCAAGTCAGACCCTGTGACCTTCAAAGCATCTCTTCCAGTCCTGCATGTCTTTCAGCACTATATGCAGTTGGGGGGAGGAGAAATTAAGTCACCTTGTGGTGTTTTCTCCAGTAATCCAAGAGCAGCACATGCATCAAGGAGTCTTTCTGTTCCACACACAGAGGTTCCAACCTCATTTGCAATATCCCCAGCCTTCAGTGGACCTTTATCTTTCAGATGATCAAACATCTTCAGCTTAGAGGCTACAAACAGAGCCTACATGTAGGAAAAAAAAAAATGTTAGAATGCTGTGTTTAAAAGACTGCAATCAAGAAGCAAGAGAACTATACCTTTTGCCTAGAATTATTCTACACAACTACTGTTCTTTAAAACGTGCAACACAGTTTAACAAAACTCCTGAAAATTGCTATGATACGTTTCCTTCCCTCTCAGAGGGTTTCACTATCTTAGCCAAGTAACAGAATTTTTAACAGAGGTGTTTGGGAGAGAAAGGAACTCAAAATATTCTGGAATGAAGCCTACACATTTCATATGAAGACTACCTCTTTGTTCAGATATTTAGCATATCCCCATCTATAAGGCTGTTCCATAACGTCAAACTTTCTTAAGCATCTGAACCAAGGCCAAAAGATCAAATCAAATTTGATTTACCCAAAACATAAGGAAATGGAAAGCTCCACTAAGGCAGTGTAACAGCTTCAGTTGCTATAATATTGGTCTTTGTTTAATAAAAATTAAGGAAGAAAAAAAAACAAAACTTCAGAGCACAACTTCTTTCTACCATTCTGTAATTCTCAGTTCAACGCAGGGGGGGAGTGATCAAAGAAGAAAACACCCCAAAGGCCCGAATACAGATCAGACTACGCAAATGTAGAACATATTAAGTTTGAGAAAGTATGATTTAACCCTGATCCTCTCCTGTTCTGCAACAGCAGCTATGCACACCTTAATAGGACATGCACACCTTAACAGGACGTGCACTTACGGAATGAGGAAGAGAGAACAGCTAGAGCCTGATGGTAAAGAAAAACCCACAGGCAATGCAGCTGTCTAAGTTGAAAAAAACTTAACTGAACTCAGAGATATGCTAACCAAACCAGAGAGGAAAGTTAATGATATGTGATAATATATACCTCTCCATTTGAAGTTAATTTGCAATTCTGCAGTTTCAGTATTTTGGAACAGTTAACACACCTAAAACCAAGGAACTTAGGTAGAGCACAAGAGTGGAAGCACACACAGCAATCACAGAATCCATTTCTTTGCAACTGCACACAACTATAATGTACTTAAAAATCAAAGGTAGTCAAGGAAAAAAAAAAAAGGATTGACATTCTGTTTAGTAAAAATCAAATGGAGAAAAAGAGATTAACTTTGAGAGGAAGGTCTGGTACTGTGTGTCTATATATTTTATCATCTTCACCCCCTTTTTACAGTTTCCTCTGTTACTCTAATAAGAACGTATAGCTGGATTTATTATAATCCAGGCTTTCATGATACTGAGCCAACTGCATCTCGTCTACAACCATTTGGCTTTTAAGACCTGCCCAGTCTTTGGACTGATACCACCTGGAAACTATAAGAACAGGAAAGAGAAAGTACGGAGATATGGTCAAAAACTTGGATGACCCAAATCACTCTTTCTACCATTCTGTAATTCTCAGTTCAACGCAGGGGGGGAGTGATCAAAGAAGAAAACACCCCAAAGGCCCGAATACAGATCAGACTGTGCAAATGTAGAACATATTAAGTTTGAGAAAGTATGATCTAACCCTGATCCTCTCCTGTTCTGCAACAGCAGCTATTCAGAGTAAAACAGGCAGCAACATCTTTGCCTGCAGGAGATTTCACTCTGCTTGACGAAGTCCTTGAAATAACACTCAAGGATCAAAATGAAACACCCCAAAGGCCCGAATACAGATCAGACTGTGCAAATGTAGAACATATTAAGTTTGAGAAAGTATGATCTAACCCTGATCCTCTCCTGTTCTGCAACAGCAGCTATTCAGAGTAAAACAGGCAGCAACATCTTTGCCTGCAGGAGATTTCACTCTGCTTGACGAAGTCCTTGAAATAACACTCAAGGATGAAAATGAAATAGAACTTGAGAGCTTTTGGGAAACAAAGTGCTTTTGTGCTCTTATCCCTATTCTACAAGTGGAGAGATGATGCATTTTGTCAGATCACAGGAAGCGTTCCATTGCAACTGGTGATTAATTTTACAGAGATCCAAGCCCTGAGGAAAAAAATTTCCCACTAGTTCAACATGAAACTCAGCACTTCATACAATGACTTCACACTGGATTAGTGGGAAAGGAAAGCTTCTGCTTCTATTTACATCCTCCACCGTCTTTCACTGCACAAAACCGAATTCGGCATCGCATCGCTGTAAACAGTGCGCATGATGTGCAACAAAATGCTGATGATTCTCCATATTTTTTTACTTAAATTAAAGAAATGCTAAGCATCATCTCACCCATTCAAATACATCAAAACTCGCTCACTATGGAAACAGAAGGAAGTTCACAAACGCAGCAGTCTCAAGGCTGCTTTATTCCAAATTTCTCAACGCTGCTTTGCATGCCTGCAAGCAGCACGCCCACAGATCTACAGTGACCACACTATGGTTTTCCTTCAGATCCAAGTACAACTTTCTGCTGTTTCAGCAAAACCATTGTCCACTGTCTTGCGTGTTTCCCTCCATCACCCCTCAAATTTGTTGTATCTTTAAATCCAGGTTTGTCATTTCACTGCCACTTTAGCAGTTTTTTCACCTCTTCCTAAAACAAGAATGACTTGATGGAGATCAGTGATCTATTAGAATCATTGGTGTTCATTTCTCCTTCACCTTCTTCACTACTGTCTTCACTACACTGGAGCTGTGAGTAGAAAACTTGGCAGCACTTAAAGTGTCCAGCTACTCATTTCCCATCACACTTGGCTGCTACACAGAGCATGTGACCATCTGTTTGTAAGCTGTTACGTGTATGTTTCCATGAGATACTGCATGGAGATTATTCAGCTAAACATACCTGGAACATGAAGCAGTGTATAAAAAAAAATCTCCTTAATAGGGGAAAAAAAAAAATTAAGATCTTCCACAGAATTCTAATGCTAAGCATTAAAAGTTAGAAAGGAAATAATATACACAATTCTTGTCACAGTTCTAAGTCAGATAAGTTAACCATATTAAATGCTTTCTTTGCAGTGTACATAAACATAACTTCCTGCTTGATTGTGCTCTTGTTATCAGTTAAAAAAAAAAACAACCAAAAACCC